ATGATCTTCTCTGTGGAGTAAAAGAGTTGCCCAGAGAAACCAACGACACGACCGATCACCAATCACCATCACCGGCCACTATCACCGGTCACCATCATCCATCACCGGCCACCATCACCAGTCACTATCACCCATCACCATCATCGGTCACCATCATCCATCACCGGCCACCATCACCAGTCACTATCACCCATCACCAATCACCATCACCCATCCCCGGCCACCATCACCGGTCACCATCACCCATCAGCGGCCACCATCACCCATCAGCGGCCACCATCACCCATCACCGGTCACCATCACCGGCCACCATCACCCATCACCGGCCACCATCACCCATCACCGGTCACCATCACCGGCCACCATCACCCATCACCGGCCACCATCAACGGTCACCAATCACCATCACCGGTCACCCATCACCCGTCACTATCACCGGCCACCATCACCCATTTCTGTCACCATCACCGATCAATCTCGGGGGCACAGCAATACATTCACACAGGAGATCCGACACGAGGCCCCCAATATATCTATTGATTAGTTGCCAATTACACGCCGGGTGACAGAACTCTTCCGGGAATATTGATTTTTGTTCTCTTCTAGAATGTTCCGGAGATACCCGAGAGGAGACGTGACGGCGAGGAGTGATCCCCAATAAAGACCCGCGTCCGGGTATATATATGTATACGGCGTGTGCGTGTCCGGGTATATATATGTATACGCCGTGTGCGTGTCCGGCTATATATATGTATACGCTATGTGCGTGTCTTTGGGTCACATTCAGCGGAAGGTTCCGGTAATCCGGCTCCGGTGGGGGGGATGATGTTCGGCGTCTCACACTCGGGGAGGAGAGACAAGCGGGTGATGGGAAGTATTAACCCCGAGCCCGCCGCAGGGACGAAACGAATTTCGGAACGAACCGAATCGCACATGTCTAGTCTGCTGTGCCATCTTTTTGGCTATCCAGCAGTGCTCTGGGAATCCTTAGTCATGTGATCAGCCTGATGACATTACATTGGGGGATGCGATCGCGGCGCTCTGACATCATCGCTTCCGTTTGATGACACAATTTCCTTCAGCCGTATCCCCTCCATGCAGAATTATCGGACAGATAAATGGAGACGCGCGGCCGATGGGTCATGTGACTCCTCCACTAATCCCCTTATCAGGCGGCAGACAATGCACCTCCCCCGCCGTCGACATCTCTAATAACTTTATTATTCTCTACAATGAACAACCTTCATCCCGCTAATCGTCTTCCGGGAGGATCCGCACACCATACACAGGAGATGCAGATCATTGTCTGCGCGGCGTGTACCAAGGGGGAGCTCCGGCTCTAATTAATGCCGCGGAGCTTTGGGGGGAGGGGGGGATCTCGCCATTGCCGCTCTCACCGGCGTCCCCACCATCACTTCTCAGACCTCTCCTGACATGTGACACCCATTAACCCTTCGCTCAGACCTGACACCGGACGCAGCCGGCTATTAGCGGCGAGCGGAGATGTCGGCACATCGGGGATAATATTAGGCTGACAGGATGTTAAATTATCCGGAAAATGCCGCCCTCCAATCCGGGGCCCCGTCACCGCGTTGTCACTTCATCACAGGAGATAAATGGCGGTTTGGAGGAGAAAAAAGGGGGCAACGGGCAGCAGGGGGCGCCACCGTCCACGGCGTCCATTAACCCCTCGCCGTCACCGCACACAACACGCCGATTTCCATTCATCGCTCTGAACGGAGATAATTATTCACACAAAGACGGAGCGGCCTGACTGGGTCCTGAACTCTGCCGCTGTCTACACTTCTCTTAAAGGGACACACACACAGGAAACGTGAGCAAAGCTGAATATCCATCACCGGGAACACCGGCAGCCTGCGCAGTGCCGGGACTACAAACCATCACTGCCAATCACAGACTGCGGATGAAGTATCCCAGGCGACACCACGAGGAGGACGATGAGTGTCACCCCCAGAAAGAGTGTCAGCTCTTCTCCCAACCCATCCCCCAACAGCCTTCAGAAAACCCTCATCATCTCACCCCTCGCCACCACCTCACCCCTCATCATCTCACACCTCGCCACCCCTCGGCACCTCACATACCCGGACAGAAGTCTGTAGAGAAATGTTGGTAACAGAAAATAAAAGTTCCGGAGGAGAGAAGTGACGGATTATAAACACGCAGCACCCCGAACATGATCATCAGGCGGACTACTGAGCTCATCGTTCCTCCATCACACGTCTCCGGGATTGTCATACAATGCGGACGGCTGGAGGAAGCTTCTCAATCTCCGAGTGATACAATGTATCCCCCCTCCAGAGACACAGCGCCCCATCATCATCCTCATCATCATCACTCTCATCATCATCCTCATCACCCTCATCAGTCTCATCATCATCCTCATCACCATCCTCATCATCCTCAATATCACCCTCATCATCACCACCCTCATCATCATCACTCTCATCATCATCCTCAATATCACCCTCATCATCATCCTCATCACCCTCAATATCACCCTCATCATCATCCTCATCATCCTCAATATCACCCTCATCATCATCATCCATAAAAATATCTCATTATACTTAAACTTCTTCATTATAAATGAGAGAAAT